TGTTCACGCCTATTCTCTCCTGTAAGCACCACGTTGCCCCTGCACCTGCTGTGGAACATCGGGGACATAGACTCCTCACGGGGCGTATGACGATGCTCAGACGCATGCAGCTCATCTGTCAACCTCGTGTCTGTTTCTTCCAGGCCCCGTTCTCACTGCTAGGAAATGTCGGTCAGAACCCGAACCTGGCCTCCCCGTTGCAGGTCCTTAAGGGCAATGGGCATCAGGCCCATTGTTAAGTTCGGCAAGGTACAAGTTAGAGACCGCGTCTTACTAACCCAGCAGGGCTAATGCAACCTCTTTCCCATGAAAAATGCGATAATTCTTTTCGAAAGGGTCCGTCCTACCTGAGTTATTCTGTTTTCAAATTGGAAAATCCAACTCAGAGCTTAATAGAAAAGCCTTTCAAAATTAATTTTGGAAGAGCGAATGAATAACTGTCATTTTTTATTACAAACAGAAGCCAAAGGACAGCCGTGTCCAGATTTTATTCGGCAACTCCCAGCGCCGTGCTTAGTGGGAGGGGGAGGGGCAGGCTTGTGAGTTGTGGTGATAGGTTGGAAGATGTGCAGGCAGGACCAGTGTGACATCTGTGATCTGGAGCAGTACACTCTAAAACTCAGACCAGTTGGCAGCAGAGGCTCGGAGGGCTGCATGACACAGGCCGTGGGTCGAGCACCGCCTAGTTCAAGGCTGATTCTCAGGCCCAGAGCTTTTACCGGCCTCTTAAGTTCTGAGACTGTGGCCGTTCCCCCCACCTCCTTCGCCCAGTCCCAGTGGGGCAGGCAGGGAGTATGGGTGAGTGAGTGTAAGGTATCCAGGAGGTCGGTCCCGGCAGCGGGCCTCAGCTCTGGGCTGGGTGGTGGGCCAGACCGGTGCGTGACTCAGGCCCCATGGGAGACAAGCTGGGAGCTGGACGGGGGCCTGAGACAGGCCCTCAGCTTGAGGACAGAGCAGAGTCCCGGGGCAGTAAGCAGGCCCTGGGGAAGTCTCACCCTCGAGAACCCAGAGGCAGAGGTTGGACGGAATGGGGCCACTCACTCCAGGGCAGAGGGTCCCGGAGTGGGGTCCAGCTCCCGTGTGAGGCCCCATCAGGTGAGGGCTGCTGTGGGAGCACCTGCGAGGCCAGTGGAGACCCACAGGTCCATCAAGCAGACCCAAGGGGGAAACCCGGTCCCTCGTGAGGGCCGTGTGCCAGGCAGGAGGGTGGTGCAGTCAAAACGGGACCTCTCCCTGCCAGGGCTGGAGGACAGGGTGCCTCTCACAGGACCCTGTGGCTGAGAGGTGGAAAAGGGACTGGGGTGTCCAGGAGGGTATAAGGAGGAGTCTGGACGGATGGCCCTCCTTAGGGGAGGAGAGGAGAGATGGGCTCCAGGCCAGGGCGTGTGTGCTCAGCAGGTGTGTGTCCCCAGCATGGCCCCTGTGGACCGGGACATCAGGCAGCATCGGGTAGAGAGGATGGCTGAGGCACAGTGTCAGCTGGGACCACAGCCCCAGGGGCGGGGCGGGAGAGAGGAGCCAGGACCCAGCGAGGGAGAAGCTGGCCCTCGGCAACCCCAGCTGCCCCGCCCTTGAGGGGGCACGAGCAGGGCCCAGTGGGTCTGGACTCTGGACAAGCAGGATGAATGAGAGGGAGTAAGACCGGGGCAGGGAGGCCAGAGACGGGCCGGCTCACGGTCCAGGTGGGACACGCTGGTGCTTTGAGGCAGGGAGTGGCAGCGAGGACGGGAACACACAGGGTCTAGAGATGCTGAGGAGCATGGAACTTGGTGGCCACTCGCTGTCAGGAGTGAGAGAAATCAGACTCAAAGACGATGCAAAGAAGGCCAGAAATTGCCGACTCGTGATGAGCCTCGATCTTAGCACAGCTGTCACTACTGGGTTCATGAGCCTCTCCCTTACACCAGTGGCGAGATCATGTGCGAGCACGTGTGTGTGTGTGTGCACACGCACGTGCACATGTGCGGTTTTTCGTTTGTGGTTCTTTTTAAAACAACAGAACTTCACTCACCGGCCTGTAGGCCAGTGGTCCGCGGGCCCACGCTCACTCTGGAGGCTTCGGGGGGCAGCTTCCTGCCTCTTCCATCTGGACCGCGGCCAGCAACCCTGGGCGTCACCCGACCTGCACACACCTCTCTGCCCTCGCTGCCTCCCTCTTCACGTGGCTTCCTCCCCTGCGTGTCTGTGTCCACCGTTCCCGCTTCTAGTTAATGCAGTCTGACGTCATGGCAACTTGATCCCATCCGCAAACAGGCTGCTTTCAAATGCTCGCAGATGCAATCAGACGCGGATCCGCGGGGCGCTGTGTGTGCCCGCAGGTGAACGCACCGCGCCCTCTCCTGGTACGCTGCCGCTTAGGTTGACCAGTCCGTCACATGGACCTTGCGAGCGACTCGGCCGCTTTACTGACCACGACTGAGCACCTCTTCTGAATCAGGAGCGTTCGCGGTGTCATCCGTTTTAAACGACCCTGTGGAGGGGGCTGTATCGTCCCCATCCTGTGAAAAAGAAAATGCAGAAGCGAAGAGACATGTGGGAGACCCCAAGCCTGAATAAAACGTGATGAATTTGAAACCAGGTCCCAAAGAGGACTCCCCGGAACCCTGGTTTGATGGAATGTTGCTACGGCTTCCAAAAAACAAAACTGAAGGGGTCCAGGAAAGGCTCCTCCGCTGCAGGACTGCTCAGTGCCTTTACGACGGGGGTGGGCCTGCCGCTGTCCCTGAGGAGCCACAGACGTGCTTCAGGAAGAGCCCGCGCCCCACCTCCGCCAGCCACTGTCACCGCCCATGCTTGAGAGGCCAACTCAGTGTCACCTGCTTGTGGCTTTTGCTATCAATTAATCAATAAGCCAGGCTCTCGTGTCCTGCTAACGCCTTCAGCCTGCAGTCACCCGTTCACAAATGAAGGCTCCATGCGCCCAGGCCAGGCTCGGGGCCAGGCTCGAGACCCTTCCTGGCCAGGAATCAGTTATCCGAAGGAACAGGAGCCACAGGAGCCCTTCAGAGCAGCTTAAGCGGAAGGGAGGATGCTCTGGGAGGAGTCACATGGTGACAGGGTCCCAGGGAGAAGACGGGCATCTGTCTCCTGGGCCAGCAACCGGCTCTGTGCCCCGCCTGGCTGCCTGGCGCTCGCTCCTGCCCCAGGGGCTCCGCCTGGTGTCACCGACAGAGCCTCGCTTCTGGGTTTGCACCCCGAGCCTCACCTGCCGACAGGCTCCTTCGGGGCGGGACCTGCTTTTTCCATCTGAGGGTCAGTGAGGGTTTGTCCTCCCGGCTGCTCTGCCCTCTAGCTGTGTGGCCTTCGGCAGGGGGCTCTGCCTCTCTGAGCCTTAGGTTCCCACACTGGAAAACAGGTAACGACACCTGTCCCAGCTGGCGAACATAGGAACACATGAGCTCAGGGCAGACGAGCATTCGTGTGTCCATCATTTCTCGGGAGATGGGGGAGGGGGTGTCGGGAACCCACCTGCGGCTCCGTGTCCCACCCACTTCCTTCCCGTGGGGGAGCAGTGCCCACGGAGCCTTCCGAAGACAGTTGCTTGAGGCTGTGGCTGACATTTCATTCTACACCCCAGTTATCTGTTTCCTAGGAAACCAGTGAGAGACGGTGACTGCAACAACCCACATACACACACGCGCGCGCACACCCTGGCTGCCACCCAGACTGACAATTAACAGAAATGCCATAAATGTCAGCAAAGCTAAATATAGTTTCTGCGCCCCACCTGGACGGCTGCTCCCTGCCACCCGACACCTGGGAACACAGGGACGAGGATGGTGCCCTCCCTGACACAGCGCCACACTGCGGCACCTTCCGAACGGGCAGGCTCCAGGGCCCCAACCTGCACCCCGCCACCTGCCTCTCCTCTAGTCCCACCAGGACCAGACCCAGGGCGCCTCCTCAGACTCCACCCCCAGCACATGGCCTGTGCACCCCTGTGTCGCCAACGCCTTTCCCAGCTCCCCCGCCGCCTGAGGGCGGCCCCCTCCGCCCCATTCTGCAGCCCGCAGTGACGCGCGTGCACAGCAATGCACGGTCTGCAGGTCCGTCCCCCACACCTGCCGCCCTTTACCCAGCCGATGTCCCCCAGTGTTCGGCGCCCCCACCCACCTTTTTTTTGTTTTTGCTCAAACCAGAGTCTGAGAATTGTCATTCTGGCTCTCTCCTCCACCTGTCCCTCCACTCAGCCCACCGCCCTGCCCTGTCCCCCGACCCGGCTTGGTCCGGGCACCCCCATTCCCACTGCATGGCCCCTCCCACCCTCTAGATGGCCATGCGGCCCCCACATTCTTTCATCCAAGGGAAATAAAACCGGGACCAGCGCCCTGGCCTCTGGGGAGCCCTCTGCCCCCTGGGGCTGGAGCCGCGTGTGGTCCTCTCTGCGCCCACAGCCCCTTGTGCACCTCACTGCAGCGAGGGTCACTGCACCCACTGATCCAGCGGCTCTACCTGTGTTCACGCGCATCACGATATTACAGATACTCGCCCACCGGTGGCTCCCCTGCACCCTGGGAGGTCAGGGGACAGGCCCTGTGGGTGACCAGCTCTAAGTCACTCAGCTGCACCCCACACAGAGGTGGCTTCCACTGGGCTGTCCTAGGGACTGTGTCTGTCTGCTCCACGCTCTGACCCCGGGACCTAGAAGAAAACACAGTACATTTTGGCGGCGTAAACTAAACGCGGGCTTCTCTGGACTGGTATCCAGGTCCCGAGGCGCACGCTCCCCCGGCGTGTTCCCCCTGCCTGCCTTCTAGCTCACCCGACGGTGGAAAACTGGCTTTTTGCGATTCGTTGGCATGTAGGGCCTTGCGGGTTCGTACGACACCCTGAGCCTCCATTAAGAGTCTGGAAGTGCTAGCTAGAATGGCCTTCCGGTGGTCGGGAACGACGAGTCCTCGCCCGGCTGGCGTGGCGACAATGCTCCGCCGACGGCGAGACGCAGGAGGGGCGGCCGGGCCCGCACGCAGCCCACTGACCGAGGCGTCTTCTTGGCGCAGCATTATTTCACGGTGAACTTCAGCCACGAGAACCAGAAAGCCTTGGAGCTGAGGACAGAGGATGCAAAGGACTGTGACGAGTGGGTGGCCGCCATCGCTCATGCCAGGTACGTCTCCCCACAGTCCCGGCAGAAGGGCTGGGCCCAAGGGGCCATCCTGAGCAAACCCAAACCGCAGGAGGCACGGCAGAGGGGGAGGGGAGGGAGCCATGGAAGACCGGCAGGGTCCCCCAGAGAGGCCCGGAGTGCGGAGTCGTGAGAGGCTGTGGGGAGCAGTGTCACAGCCCCCCAGCGGCCCCACCCGGGCTGGCTTTCATTCCAGTGGGGTCTGAGCACGTTCGGTGGGACTGAGGGTCACGTGGCTAAGGGCCGCCAGGGTTCCGCCCAGACGCGTGGGCACCGGGAGCCGGGCCTGACTTCCCCCCTGGGCCACTCTCTCGCCTGTGGACTGACAATCCACACCTCTGTGGGCTCTGACGCGGGACGGTAGCCCTGCTCCCCCGCCCTCGCCCCCAGCAGTGTGTGCCCCGCTCATGAGGAGGACCAGCGGGGCCGGGTGGGGGGAAGGCCGAAGCAGGGCATGCGCTGCAGAGAATGCAGGCTCCAGGCCGGACTGAGTTTTCAGGGTCCTGCGGAAATAATGGGCTTGTGGGCCAGCGTGTGGCCCCGGAGCCGACAGTCCCCTGGCAGAGCCGACTACTGTCCAGGGAAGGGACACCCAGACTCACCTCTCCGGGCAGATCTTTCTGGCTCAGTGGACAACGGTGTGCTTCTCTGTCCTCCTCCCTGCAGCATCTGAGCTCTGGGGGACGGGCACCCCCTGAGATGATGCCCAGGGCCTGATAAAGGTGGAGACAAACGCTCGGCGGGGTGGCTTGGGGAGCGCCTCCCGAGTGCGGTGGGGGCGAGCCCCGATTCCGGGGCGATCTCTGGGTGCGGGCCTCAGCGTCTCACGCACCGTGCTCATCCGTCCACAGCTACCGGACGCTGGCCACTGAGCACGAATCGCTCATGCAGAAGCACCTGCACCTGCTGCAGATCGTGGAGACGGAGAAGACCGTGGCCAAGCAGCTGCGGCAGCAGATCGAGGACGGGGAGGTCGAGATCGAGCGACTGAAGGCAGAGGTGACCCAGGCCCCACGCCCAGCACCGCAGACCCCAGCTCCCCGCAGGAGGGGGGCACGTGACGGGCCGGGGGGCCTCCTCCCAGCCGCGGCTATGCCGGCTTAGGGAGTTAAAGTCGGCGATGCTGGCGGATGGGGGAGGCCGGCAGCCAGATCTGGGTGCAGACCCCACCTCTGCACCCTGGAACTGCAACCGGAGCAACCCCCCCAATCTCTCCGTGCTTCCGCTTCTCCCAGGCTCTTTACCCTCAACCCCCAAGGCCGTGAGGATTGGGCGAGGTGCTTATGGGCACGTTCCCAGCACACCGACCAAGCAGTCCACATGACCAGCCCGAAACGCGGGGGACACAGGGTCCCAGGCGTGTCACTGGCGTGTGGGCTCCTGGCTCAGCGCCAGGTAGTCTCTCTCCTCCGCCCGGCAGGACGGGAGCTCCTCAGGGCCTCGCGGGGCAGAGGTCGCCGGGCCAAGCCTTCGAGAGCTTTGCTGCTCCCGAGCGCTGCCTGGCACTCATGCCCAGGCTCCCGCCCCACCAGCCAGGCTCCTGCCGGCGCCCCAGGGCTGTGAGCAGGCACCTCTGGCCTTCGGACGTGCGGCGCTCCTGTTTGGGGTGCCCTTGTCACTCCCACGTGTCCCTGCCTGGGGCGACCTTCCTGGGCTCAACGGCCACATCAGAGCGGCCCCACTGGCCCGGGGGGAACTCCCTGAGGGCAGAGCTGGCCTTACCGCTCTCTCCCTGCTGCCCAGCACATAGTAGGTGCTCGGTCAGGGCTTAGGGAATGAATGGGCGTCAGACACCAGATGTGGACGCCTCTACCCTTAAGATCGGCTTGCGGTGCGAGGCCTGAGTGAGCGCTGTGATAGGCCCAGGACCGAACCTAGGCCAGGAAGTGGGTCGGCCTCCAGATGGCCAAAGCCGGTGTGGGTTTGTATTGTGCGTGACCTTAAAATGTTTCAGGGGTTCATGGGGCAGAGAGGGGTAGTGAGAGCAGGTGATGAGAGCGTGTGTGCGTGTGCATGCGTGTTTGTGTGTGCGTGCATGTGCATGTGTGTGTGCGTGCGTGTGCATGTGTGTCCTTTATGTGCATGTGCGTGTGTGTGCATGTGTTTGTGCGTGCATGTGCATGTGTGTGTGCGCGTGTGTGCTTTATGTTCTTTATGTGCATGTGTGTGTGTGCGTGTGTGCACACACGTGCATTAGAGCAGCAGCAGGAGTCCATCCACGGGAATGTGGGGCAAATTGCCTCCGACCAAGTGCGTCACCCTCCGGGCAAAGGTTTTCTCAAAGGAGACTCCGAAAGAGAGGCCAGCGAGGTTGAGCCTCCGGGCTGTAGGCTCTCCCACTCTGCAGGGCGCAGGGCACCCGTTTGCTGTGGGGGCTCCAGGAATGTGGGGACAGACCCCATTTCCCAGGAAGCAGGCAGGAGGCACCGAGAGGCCCAGGAAGGGACGAGTGGCCCCGTGACAAACGCAGAGGTCTTAGAAGTCAGAACTGGGAGGGATCTGAAGATGCTGAAGTCCCCAGAGGGACGGACTTATCCAAGGTCACCTCCAGCGCTGGAGTCTGGGCTCCGACTGCGGCTGTGCCCCCACTGACGGTCATCTGAGAGCCAAGCAGGTCCCCAGAGGGACGGACTTTTCCAAGGTCACCTCCAGCGCTGGAGTCTGGGCTCAGACTGCGGCCTGTGCCCCCACTGACGGTCATCTGAGAGCCAAGCAGCGCACCTCAGGCCCCACCCCCTTTCTCCTGAGGATCCCCCGGGGTTCAGTTTCTCCTGCCACCTCTGGCTCTCAGATGCTGCTCCCCCGACTGGCTGTGTCCACTCCACCCTCACTGCCCTTTACCCCTGGGCGGTCACCACGTGCACACGTCAGAAAGAGCTACGACATGCAGCCATGACAAACAAGCCCGATGTTCTAGCGGCTTCGAACAGCAATGGCTGCTTCCTCAGCCTCGCGGGGCGTCCACAGTGGGTTCCGCCCCACGAAGTTCTCAGCGTTGGGGACACGGGCTGCTGGCGCCCACCAGGAAGAAAATCACCAGTCACATCAGGGGAGAGGAACATGGCTGCTGATGTGCGACATCTCTGCTCACTTCCCATGGGACAAGCAAGTCCCATGACCACGCCCCAGCTCCGGGACCTGGGGAAGGCAGTCCTGCCACCAAGTGTCTGCGAAAGCCCCAGTGACTTCCCGCTGTGGCTTCTCCTCCTGTCCCCGAGCGCCTGACACAGGCCACCTCGTGTATGTAACAACCTTCCTCAAAGGCGTGGACGGGAGCAGAGAGCAGGCTCCCACCACGGGGACAGAAAGCGGCTTAAAGACGACAGGAAGACCCCGGCCTCACGACGCCCCGCCTTCCTGCCGCCAGGGTCCCTGTGCCACGAGGTCGGCGGTGGCGGTCATGACGTCTCTACAAGCCCCTCGCCCCGCCCCCGGTGACATGCTGGCACTGCCCAGACCGCCTGGCAGGAGCCACTCGCTCCGCTTTCCAGAACGCGCAGGCTGGTCATTCACCCCGTGGGGGCTGAGAGCCAGCAGGAGCAGGTGGGCTGGTGCCGTGGGAACGGGCAGCGCTGCCCCCTGGGATTTTCCTCCCCATGCTTCGGCATCGGCCTCTGCCCAGGACCAGCCGCACACCTGGCGGGGCCCAGTGCGGGATGAAAACGCGGGGCCCCAGGAGAGTCGAGGCAGCAACAGCAGAGCGTCGAGCAGCGCCGGGCCCCGCTACGCCTGGGCTCTGCCCGTCCCAGAACCCGGGTCTCTTCACCTTCCCTGCTCCCCAGCCCTGGGGCCCCCGCCCCAAGCCCCTCGCCCTGGAGGGAGCAGGTCAAGCCGAACAAAAGCCCACCCGAGACTCTGTTCTCTTCCCCCACCTCTGACCGACCCCCACGGCCTCGCCTTCCATAACGAAACACTCCGAAGACTGTCTGACAGCGAACCAATCAGTTAACGAATAAGTTAACCAATAAATGAACTAATCAATTAGGCAATTCGTCAATTAACCAATTAATAGCTGAAGCAACAAATCAATAAGCTAATGAAGTGGAAACCGAGGAGAGGGCCCCAGTGGGGGTCAACCCGGAGAGCGGCGGGCAGGCCCCAGCAGGCGAGAGGTTGCAGGGGCTGCGGCACGTCACTGCCCGGTGACCCTGCGGGACACGCTCGCCGTCGGGGTTCACCTCCAGCCGTGGAATCGGTTTTGCAAACAGACTTTGACATGGACCCCAGCGCAGACACCAGGGCGCTGAGAGGCCTGATCCGGGAGACATGGAATAAGGTGCTGGGACCCTTCCCCAGGCAGAGCGTCCCCAGCAGCCCTCGCCAGGCTGAGGTCTGCTTCCCACCTTGCCTGCCACTCCCCATCCCTGCCGCCACCCCACACACGCACCCTGTGGGGCCCCGTGACCCGGCGCACACAGCCCATCCCTGAGCCACCGCTTCTGTGGGCGTCCGGCCCCCTTCGTAGGCTGGAAGCTCCCCACGGGAGGGACGTGACTTCTCCGCTCCAGCTCTGTGTCACCAGTGCCGAGGACAGTACCCAGCATGGCAGGCCCTCCAGGATGTGCTGACGGGGTGGGCGCAAAGGCAGGCCAAGATGGGCGCCAATCGAGAAGAAGGAGAGAGGACCAAGTTACACGGCGAGATGTGCAGAGACCTTTGGCAAAACCTTGGCTGCTGACAGAAAGGAAACGTGGCTTAGTTCCCCCGTCAGCTACTGCGCTGGCTGAGGGGACTCGGGGGAGGGGAGCAGGCCGGGCCAGGAGCCCTTGCGCAGGGTCCGAGGAGGCTGCGGGTGGCGGGTGGGCCGGCGCTGACTCAGACCCAGCGACTCGGGGCTGAGAGCCCACGTCCCCACGGCCACCACTGACAAGGGCCAACTGAGCCGGTGCTGGACGTCAACCCAGAAAACCAGAGGCCAGAGCAAATCCACCCACAAGTCCCTGCCTCCGTGAGCTGGCCGGGCCCCCACCGCCATCCGCAGACGGGTCCTCGCGTGGTGGCCTGTGGCCCTAGTCCCGCAGGTCCCCACGACTCTGCGGAGCTTCACCCACCCGGCCTGGTCCTTGGGCGAAGGCCCCGAGGCTGCCTGTGCGCACAGCAGAGCGTCTGGCCTAGTTGTGTCTATTTTTTGCCCCGGCCCCTGCTGAGCCCGGAGTCCTGGATTTAAATACGGACGACTCACACACACGCCCACCCAACTAGGGGGAAAGGGTGCCCTGGGCAGATTCCGAAGCTGGCACAGAAAGCAGGCGGACAGGGAGGCGACGCTATCGGGCCGGCGTGGGGTGCGGACCAGGCGTGCGGGTCACCGAGGCTCCGGGAGTGCGTGTGTGCATGTGTCCCCTAGCCCTTCTGGGGTCAGACCAGACAACCAGCCCTTATATCGATGTGCAGAGGTTCTCAGAGAATCGGGCAGGGGCGGGAAGCGCCCCAGCCGCACCCAGAATTTCTCGATTCGATATTTTCAGCAGCTCTTCAAGCCTCGCTGGGTAATTTTAGCAACTGGGAGTGGGGAGCGGGTAACTGTTCCATTTTGCTTTCAAAGTGCTGTTTTCGCTCAACTGTGAGAGCCCATTCATCCTGCGAAAAAAAGGCCTTGAGGGGACAGAGCCACGTGCTCCGGGGAGGGAGCGGCGGCTCTGCGACAGTGTCCCCGTGCTGCTATCTTTAGACGTGTGGGGCCGAGTGACGGCGGTGTCTTCCTGTGGTTGACGGTCTTGTTGCTCTGGTTATTATGATTATTATTTTAATCACTTGTTAACGTGGCCACGTGTATGTGCTGCATGCCAGGCCGGGAGCAAGTTAATGAACAGGAAGGGGCCCGGGCCCGGCCCCCCACTCCCCACCCCGGAGCTCTCGGCAAAGACGGGGAGGACACGGGCGATGCGGCATTCAAACACTGAAGGGCAGAGTCCGCGGCACCGGTGAAGGTGACAGCGAAGACTGGCAGACCCGGGCTGGTGGGGAGGGGCCTCGCCCGGAGGACGTAGCGCCGGCCTGTCCCCCTGAGGAGTCCCAGGCCCCCCCACCCCGTGCCGACCTCTCCTGAGCCCCAGATCAGGCAGACAGAGATTTTTAGGGCAGCTCAAGTGTTCGTCCCCAGGGCCGCCCCAAAGAGGGCTCCAGGTCGGGGACACTGGCGGCTGTGGCTGGCGGGACCGCGCCCCAGACGCCGGCGCCCTCCCCCAGCAGACTGGGTGGGCTTCTAGGGTGGCTGGTTAGAAAAAACAAAGCGACTCCCAAGTGTCCATCGGGAGATGAACAGAGAGCAAAACACGATCTATACCGACAGCGGCGCATCCCTCGGCCTCGCAGAGGGGGGGCATCCCGACGCCGGCCACGCCATGGACGGGCCTGGAGGACACTGTGCTCAGTGAGACAAGCCCGTCAGAGAAAGACAAGTACTGTAGGGCTCCCTCCGATGAGGTCCCTGGAGGAGTCTGATTCACAGACGCAGACGGCGGACGGTGGGCGCCGGGGGAGGGGTGCAGTTAGGGTTTACCCAGAACGGTTTCACATGGGACGATGACAAAGCGCTGGCGATTTGAACTGCGCAGGTAAAGCCAGCTTCAAATGGCAAACTCCATGCTACGCACATTTCACCACAGTATAAACGGAAAATTCAAGGTGGCGATGTTTGAGGGACGGGGGGAGGATCCCAGACCAAGGTCAGGCTCCCAGGCCGGACGCGTGAAGGGCCTGGCCCGCGGTCACTCACAGACGTCCAGCTGGGCGAGCTCCCACGGCGGGGGCGGCCTGAGCCGCGGTGCCCTCAGCTCTCGGGGGAGTGGCAGGTCCCTGCCACCACGCAGTGCCTGCTGCCGCGGCCGCACGGGACAGCCAACCTGTGTTTCTGCTGCAGATTGCGTCCCTGCTCAAGGACCACGAGCGTGTCCAGTCCACCCAGACCACCGCCCCCAACGACGAGGACAGCGACATCAAGAAAATCAAGAAGGTCTGTATGGTCCTTCCCGGCTGCACGACGGCCCCAGCCCTGCTCAGAGCCACCTGACCCAGCCCCCATCCCGCTACCCCCCGGCGCCCTCACTCAGCCCCGGACAGAGCCGGCGGCCGTGACCCCTGAGCAGTGCCATCAAGCCACCACTTCCGGCTGTCCCCGTGGTGGGGGGATGGAGCCCGGGTCGTAGGTAAGAAAGCTGAGGCTCCTGGAGAGGAAGGCAGGAAGCAAGGCGCGGGACTCAGCCCAGAGCTTCCCCCATGACACCAGACGGCCTCCGCCGGACTCCCAGGCCCCCTCGCCGTCACATAAACACTTCCTCGCAACTGCCCCCGCCCCCAGCCCCCAGTGGACCTCAGCAGAGGACCCCACAGTACTTCGCACTGGTTTCGCCCTGTTAGAGTCCAGAGGGTTGGCCGTCTCAGACGGTGCCGGGTCCGCCCACCGCAGGGCACCGACCCCGTGGGGTGCGGGGAAAGCACACGCTCGGTGTCTGCCGCTCGCCAGACTGAGGCAGGGGAGCCTGACTCCCCCGAAGGAAACAAGTGAAACCAGACAACCCCCTGCCGAGAGGCAAAGGGACCCCGAATGCCACCCAGACCAGACACAGGCCAAGTGCAGCCTCCTAGCGTGCTTGGGGTTCAGAGCCCGCGCGTCGTTTGTCACTGGCTACCAGTGCTTTGACCGCCGGACATTTCACATAGGAATCCGGGGTTCCGGTTTCTCAAGCGCAGGGTTAGCGAGCACTCGTTCGTTTAGCGCTTTCCCCTGGGGAACACTATTCCCCAACCGCCCCTGACCACACGCCCTGAGGTTTTCTCATCACGTGTCACACGGGGGGAACTCATGCACAGACAGGCCAAGGGACTTGCCCGGGCCACACAGCTGGCTGTTTGCAGAGTGACGGGTAAACCCTGGACATCAGGCTCCAGAGCCCACGTCCTTGGTCCCGGGAAAAGCAGGAGGTCCCGCAGCTCCAGGCCCCGCCCACACAGGGGCGCAGGCAGGAGGCGTGGCTCGGGGGGCCCCGCCCCGCGGACTGCATGCGCCTATGGCACCCGCCAGGCGCCCGCGAGCACTGGGATGTCCCCCGGCCCGAGACAAGCCCCACCAGGCAGGGACGCCCTGGCCGTCCTTCTCTGCTGTGGCCCCGCTGGGCCCCATTTTGAGAAGCCATCCCGGTGGGAACACGTTACGTACCAGCTGAACCCCGCCTCCTCCCCTCTAGTCACCCCACTGCAGCCTCAGAGCAAAGTGTGAGGGGCTCAGGCCTGGCCTCTCCTCTCCCGCGAACACCCTCAGCCAACAGGTCCCACCCGCACGTGTGATCCAGCCCCCAGGCTCCCGTCCAGGCTCCACCCAGCGCCGTGCAGACCTGAGCTCAGGCCGGCTCAGCACAGGGCGGGCAGGGACCGAGGCAGTGCCTTGGTTGGGAGCATGTGCCTCTTGGGTCCAATTCTCCTCTCCCAAGTTCCTGCCAAAAGGAGGCGGGACCAGGCACCCGACTCCCAGAAAAGCCAGTGGAGCCCCAGAGTCGCTCCCCACCCCTCCACACCCCGCGCCAGGCAGGAAGGTGAGCCTGGGCCTAGAGGAACTGCTTGGCCAACCTCTGTCCAATGTGATAATCGCCCTCTCCCCGGACGAGCTGCAAATGAGACCCCTGGGCTCTCAGGCCGGTGAGGGGACAGGGAGAGGCGTGACCCGTGCCCAGCACAGCCCAGCGCCCTCTGTCCTCGCCCGTCTCCCAGCACGAGGCTGCAGCCCACAGAGCAGGCTCGGGGCGGGGTCCTTGTTAGCACGCAGGGGCCCGGCGCGGCCCGGGGGTCTGCACGTCCAACCAGATGGCGCCCACGGACCACACCGTGGTCCCGCATCATCTCAGCCCCGCCGTGCAGGCGGGAGGCTGGGCTCGGAGGGACCGGGCCTGGTCCTCGTCTGCGCTCTCGTCCTTGCGCCCAGCGCGGACATGACGCGGCGCTCCCGCCCCCGGGGTGCGAGGAGCCGGGCCTGACCGTGTCCCCGCCTGTCCCCGCCGCGCGCCCAGGTGCAGAGCTTCCTGCGCGGCTGGCTGTGCCGGCGCAAGTGGAAGACCATCATCCAGGACTATATCCGCTCGCCGCACGCCGACAGCATGCGCAAGCGCAACCAGGTGGTGTTCAGCATGCTGGAGGCCGAGGCCGAGTACGTGCAGCAGCTGCACATCCTGGTCAACAACTTCCTGCGCCCGCTGCGCATGGCCGCCAGCTCCAAGAAGCCCCCCATCACGCACGACGACGTCAGCAGCATCTTCCTCAACAGGTGAGGCGTGCGCGCGTGCGGCGTGGAGCGGGGCGCCGACGCGAGGCCGGCCGGAGGGAGGTGCCGAGGTCGGTGGCTGGAAGCCGAGACCCCCTGCCACACGGCGTTTGTCTAAGTGCAGTCTCGCCGCCCAGGGGACAGCTGGCCCAGTGTGGGGACATTCCTGATGGTGAAAAGGTGACGGAGGGGGGGGGCGGTGCCGTGGGGCGGAGGCCAGGGCCGCGGCTCAGCACCTAGGACAGCACCCCCGGCACAGAGAACTATTCCACCCAAAACGTCGGTGGCCGAGGTGGAAATGGTAAGAGTTATAAACCGAGCGACAAAAGGCTAAATACGCCCCATTCCTTCACCCCGACACCTCACACTGACAGGAAGGCCAGGTTCGCCTTTACATTCTTAGGCCGCTCCGGTCCCGCCTGGCCGCTGGAGCCACGCACCTCGTACAGGCAGCGGCTTTGCCCAGACGGTGACACGGGCGTCACCACGGGGCTGGCCATACCTGGGGAGGCGGAGTCCCTGCTTAGGAAATGGTTTGAATAAATGAGCTCCCTGCTGGGTGATAAAGGCTGCGGAGCTAGATAAAGGCAACACCCCCAAAGCAGGTAAAGCGGGTGCTATTTACCTCTGACTCTCACCTAGGAATGAAGGTCAATCCTTGTCCCCTACGCGTTCGTTCAACCGCTTTTCTTTCAAAACGGTCACCGTTCAGTCACTTCACTCATTCCATCCGGCCCTCATGGAGCCTGTGCGCAGGGCTGTCCGGGGGCCAGGGTCCCCTCTCCGGTGCCCCCCCTTCTCTGCCGGTGTGGTGGCAAGTTCGAGGGGCCTGTGGGACACCCAGGAGGGGCGTGGATCAGACGTGGGTCCGATGGAGAGATGGAGCTCGAGCGGCTGACAGTCATGGGTCAGGACAGGGCTGACACCAAGGACGGGGCTTCAAATCTAGCGTGGAGGGGGCACTTCCCGGCTCGCCCTGTGGCCGGCATCACTCTGTCACCAAAACCAGACAAGACACTGCGAGAAAACAACAGACCAAGATCGCTCGTGATCATAGGTGCAAAACATTGTCAAATGGAGCCCATAAAAGTAAAAAGGTTAAGACGTCACGACCAGGCGGGGTGGCCCCAGGAACCCAAGGCGCTGCCTCAGCATTAAAAGCCAGTCCATGTGTTTCTGTATTTTCTTACTGTATCAAGTAAGAAAAGGCTCGGTGCATGCAAAGCAGAGGCTCCTGCTTCTCTGCTCCGGGCGGGGGGTCGGGGGTGGGGCGAGTGGGGAGACAGGATGCCTGCCTGGGGGTCACGCCCACGTCGCTGTGGTCCCTGGGGAAGGCCGTACTATCTTACCCTCCGGGCTCCTTAGGAGCACAAGGAGCAGCTGGAACTATTTTTTCGTTAACCTGCTAACAACCCCACCCCCCCAGCACCGGGCAGGACTGAAAGCTGGGGGGACACTCGCGTTTAGGCGCCGTTTGGTGGCCCCTGCTTTGTGCCAGGCTCTGTGGGCGCGTAGCCCATGTGGTTTCCGACCCTCGGGGACATGTCCCGAGGCCGGTGTGAGGGCTCGAAGAGGTGCCAGGTGTGCGGGGGCCACGCAGCGGGTCAGCTGCGTTGATGGCCGGTTAACCACCCCCCCACTCCGCGCTGCCCAGGACGCCCCCTCCCCCGCCCCCAGCAGCTGCGGCTCCTCCCACGCAGGGCACTGGCCTCCTGCTGAGCGCAGAGGCTCTGGGGAGGCAGGACCCAGGGCGAGAACCGAGGCCACCGCACAGCCCGTGGGTCACGAGCCAAGAGCCCCGCCAATTAGAAGGCATTTCTGTGCTCAGCTTGCCCCAAACCTGATGCTACTTTGGTGATTCCTTTGCTGCAGCTCATTAATACGGGTGCTTGGGAAGAGAGGCCTCCCCCGCCCGCCCCCGGTTCCAGGCTGTTTCATACGGGGCGGGGTAACCATGCACTTCTGGAGCGAGGCAGCACCCACGACCATGAGCTCGCACACGTGGACCGTCCCCCTTAGAGAAGCCAGGCCCGGCAAAGCATGCTGGGAACCACAGGCGCCCAAGGGGTCCCTCCCGGGTGACAGATGGATTGTGTCTTGATGGGCAATGGCTGCCAGGAGCCCTGGGTCTGGAAGGGCGGGGCTCAGTGAGGGAGCATGCCACGGCCATCAACTCGTCCTGTCTGCATGGGCTGGGACTAAGGACCGGCAGTCGGGGACTCGAACCCATGAGGCGAAACTGGCGACAGGTGGCAGGCAGCGGAGGGCGGGCAGGGCTGTCTTCGCAGGGAATACCTGGGACTGGCCCTGGGCAGGGCAGGCCCCCTCCCGGGCTCAAGCAGGGGACTGGGAGGATGGGCACTTCCCGCAGGCCCTGCAGAGGGCACCGCCTCGCCCTGGGGCACTGGCCCACCTGGCTCTCATTGTGACATCCAAATACTCGCTGTGCACATCTTCCCCTGGATGTCGTGTCCCTGACTACCTCCCGTGCCACTTGCCGCCATTGGCTTACGTCCCCTGGTTGTTAGGTCCCCTGGTTGGCCCTTTCGTAACACTCATCCGCTAAAATGACGATCGTCAGTGTCTGTGTCCCCCGCTGGACCACAGCGTGCTGAGGGCGGGAACGGGGCCGGCCGTAGGGCACAGCTGTACCCGCTGCACCCCCTGCACCCCCATGCACACAGCTGAGGGGCCGGCAAACTGCAAAAGGCCAGGTGGCAAATAGTTTAGACCCTGTGGGCCAGACGGGTCACGTCAAGACTGAGCAGCCGGACCACGCGTAAACCAGGGGGTCGGCTGTGTTCCGAGGCAGCTCCGCTTACAGACACCAAAACGCGTGTGTCACGGGATTCTCACGTGGCACGGCATAGTCCTTCGATTTTCTTTCAACCGTTTAAAAATGTAACAATCCTTCGAAGCTCGCGGGCTATAGGAAAACAGGAGGTGGGTCCGCATCCCGACAGGAAGATTCTGTGTCATAAAGATGTCATTCTCATGCAAAATATGCTATAGATTTCGTACGATTTCAAACAAAGTGCAAGCCTCGCACAATGATTCTAACATTCGGCTGAAGGAATAAATACATCGGAGTGGATAATAATGTCCTGAAAAGAACAATGAAAAGCTCCCTACCTGTAATTAAAATGTAAAAGTTTATGAATATCTTGAAATTAACGAAACAGATCGATACATCACCAAAAATAGCCCGGAAACAGACCGAAGGATATCAGAATTCAGTAACAGCAACACGGCGGCCTAGCAGAGAAGCAGCTGGCACAGTCGATGCAGGGAACGGGGAAGTCGGCAAACTGAACCGAGGAAGGATCACATTTCCACCCCTTAGTCACATCTTACTCCGGAGAAAACCGTAGTTGAGTATTTACATGTAAAGTCGAAACAGTAAAACCCAGGTGTGTACGTGCGATCCGGGGGTGGGGACAGGTGTGCTGCTCGAGGCCGAAAGGAAACTGTCGCTCGCACGACGGAACAGCGTCCAAAACACACCGAACGCACAGTCGAGGGGCAAACGGCCGGGCGGAAATGTCTGCGATCGCGTGCGTGCCAGATCGTCCTCCGAAGAGAGAGCGGATCTAAAATTAGCCAGAGAACCAAATGGCGAAGGGACGTGAGACTCGAACGGCCAAAACGCAGGGCACGGGTCCACCCGACGCGCCCACAAGGATTCTTTCCCAAGCAAATCCCATCGACACGAGATCATTTTTGGTCTTGGTAGATGGCTGAGTACGCGGTTTCTGCGTGGTGGGGTTCCAGGCGAGACCCTCATGGCTTCTGCCTAAAAATGGAGGCTTCCCCGGCTCCACGTTTGCCAGCTGTAGCTTACAATGTCCCCCACACGCCGTTCCAGCAGCTGGCGCCCCTCTGCTGGACCCCTGACGGAGCTCTCTCGCAGGGTCTCCGTGGAGGACAAGACAGGGCCTTGCTGCTGGGGTCCCGCGGAGCCGTCTCCCCCTCTCCTGGGCCTCAGCCCCCCGCACCTCCCTGCTTTCTTTTTCAGTGAGACCATCATGTTTCTACACCAGATCTTCTACCAAGGCCTGAAGGCCCGTATCTCCAGCTGGCCCACGCTGGTCCTGGGTGAGTCCCCCAGCCCCACCCCGCCCTCCAAGCCTCTCTCTTGGGCCACCCTCCAACCCGGAGGCCCTTCCGTCCTCCCAGAGTGGCACAGGGTGGCCCCTTGAAAGGCCACCAGATCCCTCAGAGGGAGTCGGAGACAGAAGACAAGTTGTCAGAAGCTGTTTCTAGGAGGACGCGATATGCTTCTAGTTCCTTATCTGCTTTTCCCTTTTAAAAATAATGCATACGTACCCATCTGAGAAAGTTTCAGAACCCAGAAAAGTAGAAAACGTTTAAAAATATCAACGGTCGTTCTGCCGCCCGAAGACACCACCGTAAACACTCGGGTGTTTTCCTCCGATCTCATGTAACTGAATATAGAATCTGAATCTCGCCGTGGGCTTTTTTAACCTCGCATTCTAGCGCGTGTTTGTCACACTGAAGGCGTGCTTGCGACAGCCGTGTAGCGCTCCGGTGCCCACGAGCGTGGGCTTGTCGGCAGAGGTTGGGGGTCGTCCCATCCCGCCAAGAGTGGGGGGTCCAGGAAGCAGGTGTGAGCATCCAGGGCTGGAAGGATGGGGCTGCCAGCGGGGACCCAGCCCACCAAACTGGGGGTGCAGAGCTGGGGAGTGGGGGGGCAGGGACACGAACCCAAGAAGGCGTGTTGCGGCGGGAGGGTGTGTTGCAGGGTGGGGAGATCTGGGATGGGGGTGTCGGGAGACCCAGCTCCACGCCCTGCAGACTGACCTGTGACATCACGTGGGCTGTCACAGGTGGGACCCTGGGAGGGGGCCTCATGGGGAGCCCTCAGCACTATGCTGAGAGGGGGCCTGGGCAGAGGGGGTGGGATGGCGGCGATGCAGTTACATCCAGGGCCTCGGCTGACTCCATGGAAGCTGGGGAGCCTGGGCGGCCCTTCGGGGAGGCCCCGGAATGAGACAGGGGCTGGCCTTTCCGCCTCCACCTGGACCTGCCATTGCGTGGGTGTGACTTGTAGAGGGCAGCGTCCTTCTGCTGAGAGCAGATCCTGGGGGGGGGTGGCTGAGGGCCCCCCGCAGCTGGGGAGTGCGTAGCTGGGACCTAAAGCGCTGGGGGCACGGCGCAGCACCTCGTCACCCTCTCCTGGCCCCCGATACGCACGTCACACCTCGCAGGGCCCCCGCTCCCCATCTGAGGCTGCGCGGTGGTCCCCGGGCGGGGCGGTGGCGGCGGAGCCACGTCCAGGGCGGGTGGCGGGGCCCGGCCGCCACTGAGCCCGCGCGCCTTGCAGCCGACCTGTTCGACATCCTGCTGCCCATGCTGAACATCTACCAGGAGTTCGTGCGCAACCACCAGTACAGCCTGCAGATCCTGGCGCACTGCAAGCAGAACCGCGACTTCGACAAGCTGCTCAAGCACTACGAGGCCAAGCCGGACTGCGAGGAGAGGACGCTGGAGACCTTCC